TTTTTTTTTTTTTTTTTTTTTTTTTTTTTTTGTATGTTATCTGGGGATTGAGGAGAAGTTGGGGGGGAAAAAAAAGTTGGGCCTTTTTTGATAATGTACATTTAACTGACTGCTAACTTTAAAAGTAAAAACAAGTAGCCATGATTATTACATCTGAGTTTCTGTTTGTTTTGCTTTGCTGGATGCAGATGGTTATGAAATGCAGCAGGTCTGTTTAACTTTCATACCTTCCTTTCCTGAAAAGTGTAGCTTGCTGCCACTGCGGCTCTTACTCTATTTTTAGGTTCACTGGGTTCTTGGCACAACATGTTACCTAACAATGGCTGCGGGCTACACATGACCCTCAGGGTTCAACAACAGCTTTGCTTTGCTGAGCATTTATTTGACAAGAGAAGTTTTAGATCCTCTTCTTTGTGAGCACTTCCTGTTCACTTTAAAGTCACAGCAGGCTTTATTGTATTTGAGGGCAGTGATCTTGACAGTCAAGTACCCACATTGTACCTCTTAGATATGCAAATGCACCTTGAGGCCATATAACTACTTACATAGATTACAAGAGTGTGTTTAAAATCGACTTCTTGGATATCTCTTGTTGCATCTCAGCCAGGTTTATTCATGCATTAACAGCGTGTACCTCCACTGAGCTCACATTAAGGCATTTATTGTTGCTAGAATACCTCCTAAAATGCTGTGTATCCTCCATCACCATAGGAGGTTTTAAGTGGTGCACCAATGAGTCACATAATCCTATAAGGTAGCAGAGCGGGCTGATGGGTAGAGAAAAGTGTGAGTGACTCACTGTTGGTGAGTGGGTGGTCAGGTACCAAGGCTCACTCCATGAGCAGGGGAGATAATAACACACCGTCTGTACATCTCCATTCCCATTTGGGCTTGAAAATAGTCGGCCTCCCCAGCTGTTAGTCATTACGCCTTGCGGTGTCGAGAAGGGAGGAGGCCCCCCCTCCGTCTGTCAGCAGGCAGATAAAGAGAGGAGGGCTTCATGCCATGTTTTTGTAGACAAGTGTGCACCGCTCTGAAACTTGCAGTGCGGTTCATTAATCAGTATACTTGCAGGGTTTTATCTAGACTGCTGTCTCGTGGAGAAACAAGCAGGCAACACAAACTCCCTTGCTGCGATGCTAATGTTTCCCTGTAGTTAATAAACGAAAACACAACACTGCTCTCAGATGTGAAATGATTTCGTTCCAGTCATCCTCACAAATGTCTCGCATGTGGTACTTTGCCCCCGTTCTCTGTGCCGCCTTTGCAACAGAGTACTTATTGGCCGGAAATCCAGATCATCCTGGATGAGGGAAGGTGCTTGTTCTCTTTGTAAGAACATGAGAGAGCATTAAAACTGTTCTGTTTTAAGTGAATGTGGCTGAGTTACTTTAGCAAATTCAGATGAGATGGGGTTATTCAGATGTTATCCCTGACTCTCCACTCCAAATTGGAATTACACAAAGACGTATAAATGGGAAAACTTGAGAGCTTGACCTTGTCCCATTGACCTCCCACTGCTACCAGAAGTGCTTATTCTCCACAACTTTTTTTTTTTTCCTCTTTCTCGGTAAATGCTCCATTGTGTGGATGTGGCTATGCCACGTTTGGAGCCATGTATAAATACTAATGGGCTACATTTACGAGACTGGCGCACATTTCTTCTATGGTTATATTCAAGGAACGGACTATTTACTCTCGATGGGTTTTTCTTCTTCCTTCCTCCCCCTACTCCCACAATCCCCTCCCCCCTCCACCTTTTTATATCGTGAACGCGCGCAATAGGCTGCTATTAAATGGGCGGACTCGGAGGCGCGGTCACGTTCAGAGCGGCTCCGGTGGGTTTGAGTGGCACATAAAAGTGCGCGAGCCACCGGCCGACCGGCGGAACTCTACCTCTCCTCTATGAGACCGGATCGGAGCTGATTGACACCGGGGATCGGAACCAGAGCCGGTGACTCATCTGTTATTATTATTATTATTAGTAGTAGTAGTATTTTTAAACCTCAATCCAGCGCACATCGCCTTCACTGCATGATGTTTGTGCTGCTGTTATGTAAAACAAAACCCTTCTAGATTAGCAGCTTGATAAGTAGCCTTGACTTTTCTTACTAATCAGTAAGCTTTTCCTTTTTTTAAAAAAAAAAGAAAAGTCTAAAATCCCTATTAATAGTTGTTTTGTTTTTTTTATGTGTGCTTTATGAGCTCTCTGACCTTTTTTCGGCATTTGTCTGCCTTTTAAGTTTATCCCGTACTGCGTTTCCACTGATTCAGCATTCATTGTATTTTTCTTCCCATAAAGGAACAAACCAGCTACAGTTTGAAGTCAACTGGTTTGATCTGGACATCCACTGTAGACATCCGGGAAAATCCAAGGTAAGCACACGTCCTGTGAAAAAGTTGAATAGGGCTGACCTGCCCGGATATGTAATCTGTAGCTTATCGTTTTGCTTGCTGCATAAGTGAGTCTTACCTTGTTTTTCGCTCTTCTACACAATCCCTGACCCCCTCCACAAATCCATAATTTGCTGCCGCCTCTTGTCTGACACAGTTGTTGGTTGGCTGCTTTATATGATATTTATAGTTTTTTTTTCGTGCCTTTTCATTGAAATTATATTATTGCTATGAAATCTATATTTGACTTCTTTGCCTCCACCCAAACCCCCACACCCTCCTTTATTGCATTGATGTTTCCCAGAAGGTCACCCTCCACCTCACCGCGGCCCATTGCGTGGGATGCTGGAGAGCAGAAGAGCGGGGGTGGAGATTTGATGCCACTTGGCAATATTAAAAGTTGTGGCGTAGTAAATCATGGGGGATTCAATCTTCAACTGCTGTTATGTCCCACCCCATCCCCCAGGCGAGGAGGAACCCCAGAGACCCAGGCGCTCAGAGATCATGGCCTCCCACCCAGCTCACATCTCCCCTGACAAGCGCTTCCTGATCTTCTTTGACTTCGACGAGACCATCGTGGATGAAACCAGCGATGACATGGTCGTGCAGGCCGTCCCGGGTCAGCACCTCCCCGGGTGGCTGACGGACACTTATCAGCCCGGCCGCTACAACGAATACATGCAGCGGGTGCTGGCTTACCTGGCGGAGCAGGGGGTCACCGAGAGCGACATACGCAGCGTCATGGAGAAGATACCGGCCACACCCGGCATGCTCACCCTCTTCCAGTTCCTCCGCAACCGGCCCGCGAAGGACTTTGAGGTGATACTGGTGTCCGACGCCAACACTTACTTCATAGAGTGCTGGCTCCGGCGCGTCGGGGCCCGCCAGCTGTTCCACCGGATCTTTTCCAACCCCGCGACCTTCAACAAGGACGGGCGGCTGGTGCTGCGGCCCTTCCACTCTCACGACTGCCCCCGGTGCCCAGACAACATGTGCAAGCAGGTGATCGTCAAGGACTACGTGGCCCGCAGGACGCAGGAGCGGGGGCGCCCGTACCAGAGAATCTTCTACGTCGGGGACGGAGCTAATGACTTCTGCCCCGCGCTCTCCCTCGGTCCCCGCGACGTGGCCTTCCCGCGGAGGGACTTCCCCATGCACCGGCTGATCACCGAGACCCACGAAGCCCAGCCAGGGGAGTTCAAGGCTGTGACGGTGCCTTGGGTGAGCGCGGAGGATGTGGTGCAGCGGCTCCGGAAACTGGTGGCAGATTAAAGGGCCACACACTTAGAGAGTGTAACACAGAGGGGGGGTAATCAAGGGGCCAGCTGACACTTTAAGTCATATTCTCAGGTAAAATATTCCCAGAAATTGTTGTGCACGGCAATAAGATATTTGTACCATCTGCAAGGGTCATTGTGTCTATCTGGCAACCAACACGTGCCTCAGTCCAGAATCTCACGTTTTTGTTCCCCAGCCCTGAAATAGAAACCCGGTTTAATCATTAGACATCAAGACCTCAGCTGTTACCCAAAGTGGGGAATCAAATGTAATGATATAAGCATATTAAAGCATATTTCAGTATAACTATAAAGTTTGAGAGCATCCAATTAAATATCCTTCAGTGTGGAACATGGCGTGATCGTAAATGTTAAAGTGGGTCAGTGGTGTGAGGAATCACTGCAGCAGTCAATAAAAATCTTATAAATAACATGACAAATATATCAACCAACTGACTTGAGTGCTCCCGAATAGCAGTTATAACTGTTTTATTACAAACTGCACATTTTTGAATATGCAACATTAAATCCATTAAATAAAATTCAGACTTACACTGCCATGTAATGGCAAAGGGCATTGACACTGACCAAACAGTATTTTCTACGTTCCCCAGACACTACCTTCTGTCTAATTGATAACTGTATGAATGACCGTGTATCAAGAGTGTGTGTTTATGTTTATCAGTCTGTCTTTATTGTGTAGGCTTCGCCTACTGAAACTATTAACACCAGCAGGAATAAAGCCATCGACTGAAACTGTGTGTGTGTACGTTTTATCACATTGCCAGAATCCACGAGCAGCAGCGAACTCCCCCCATATCGTTTATAAAGACGGGACATAGTGTCACATTTTCTGTTGCAACGCTGACAACTGCTAGGATATCCCTCGTCTGAAATTTTTAGACTGCTTTAACTCCCATCACAAACTCACACGCACCCACAATTTGCATGCCATAACAATTACAAAGTCATTTGAAAGAGACTGCAATTAAAAACGGGCTTGAAATGACACCTGAAAGCTACATTAAAACACAAACCAATGAATTTTTTTTCCAGAATGACGTCTTATACGTTGATATTTGTTAAAAAAAAGAAAAGTATTTTCATCCTTTATTAGAAGGCATGCCTGACTTTTAGTGTATAAAAATATTACAAAATGTCTTTACTTTCATCTCCTTTATCTCCTCACGAGCATATTCATTGCTGTCTAGTGTCCTCTTGTGGCTAAAGGGTGTAACTGCATACGCGATGTTGTTAAGGTCTTCATTCAGGTCACCGATTAAGATTTATGTCTACAACACGGTAACGTTTACATTTTCCGAGTCTTTCGGCTAATATATTCTAAAAGCAGTTATCAAAATAACTCTAAAAATAGAGGAAGTTGTAGTTACATATGAGGATCACCTGAGGGCAACAATTGCACACGGACGTCAGTGAAGATATAAAAAATAAAAACAAATCATTACATAAATGCTCTGTGAGTACACACGTTTTATTTTGCAGCAAGTGTCATTTGTGGATGATGAAGCGATTTAGCAATGAACCCTTCGTTTTGAAAACGTGTGCAGTAGTGGCTTTGTAGCCCAAATGGGGGAAGTAGTGAGCTTTGACATCCATTGTTAACCGCCTTCATATTAAACAGCTGAAGAAGAAAACCGGAAGCGTCTGGTGCGCATGGCGCTCATTGAATAATATTTTCTCCTCTGCTTATAAACACAACTCTCAGTTTGCTCGAAATCGATAATTAAGTTATTCCCACAGGATACAGGTACGTGTATTTAGCAGCATGCAGCACTGAGTTATCTTTAACTAAAATCTCTGAACAACAACGTAACTCAAACGTCGCATTCAAGCCATTCATTTCTGTGCTTGTTAGCCGGCTAGCATGGTCGTCTTGGGATCGCTAGTGCAGTAGTGGAAGAGCTGCTTATGTCAAACGGAAACGTCTTAGTCAAGATGCATTTTCTGTGCTGATTATCTGTGGACAGAAAACTCGAGTGAACTTGATAAAAGTAACTGAACTGCGACCCTGCATGCTATGCAGCGGTTAGCGTTAGCATTCGCTTTAGCGGTGACTTACAGTGGCATATACTTTCTCATGAATGTTAACCGCCACTGGCAGACAGAAAACAAGCTAAAGCTAACTTATATCAAAAGTACATTTCATTTTCCAGTGAAGCATTAAAGTGAAGAAGTTACTGATGTGTTATTGATGACTCAGTGACACGTTGCGTTTTGGCTAACTTTAAACAGCAATAAGATACGTTATACATTTTAAATATCTCGTCTTTTTTCCCTCTCCTATATATATTTTTCTGCTGAAACGTTATGCGTTTTGTGTGCTACAGTGGATCGTATTTATTAAATTAACTTTGCCACCAGATTCACTTGCTCATTGATATATCAACCCCTCATTTAGTTCTCTGCGATATGGAGGCTGATTTGTATGACGAGTTTGGGAACTACGTCGGTCCAGAGCTGGACTCTGACGACGATGATGATGACCTGGATGCAGAGGACAGAGACGTCGACGAGGTATGCTTAACACTCAAGAACCAGCAGTAATTACCAGGTAGTACCGAAGTTCGTGTTTGCAGTGTATACATGAGTTTGTGGTATTTACAATTTGCAGGGTGATGAAGATGACGAGGATGAGCCAGCGGATGCTGATGATGATGTCCCTGGCATGGAGGTGGTCCTGCATGAGGACAAGAAGTACTATCCTACAGCAGAGGAGGTCTATGGGCCTGAAGTGGAAACTATTGTACAGGAGGAAGATACACAACCACTTACAGGTAGGGCTGCTTAAATTGATCTAAAGATGGGGGAAAAAAAAAAACCTTGTTGACCAAAATCCAAGGTTTCTACATACAGAAAAGAGGTTTTTGCCTTCTCTCAACAGAAAATTACCAGCACCATAACTAACATTATTATAAATGTAAAGTCGGCATTATTTTAAAAATGGGCTTTAATTTAGTCAAGAATAAAAAAAAAATGATAGGAAAATGCTTAGACTTCTGTCAAGTAACAGATGCTCATGGCTTTAACTTTATGAGGACCAATCATGCTTACATGTGTAGTCACTAACGAGAAACCCCGAAGGTCTTGTCATCTTGGTCGAGCTGAACTTAACAGTGAATTTGGGTTTGTTAGGAAACAGCATAAGTGGAAGAACATAGATGGATGAAAACAGGCGCAATAGTACACTGGGCAATATTAAAGAAAAATGTAAATGTTTTGAAAACCCACAGATTCACTCTATGTATTTTCAGATACATTTTAACAGTAGACTGAATTTTGCTGTACTGTAAACATAGCCAAGGAGTGCAGTCTTAAAAATGCTTCTTTTCATAATCCTGTACACAATATTGTCTTTTTACTCCTTCCAGAGCCGATCATCAAGCCTGTGAAGAACAAGCAGTTCACCCTGATGGAACAGGAGTTGCCTGCCACAGTTTACGATATGGAGTAAGAAATTTTCAAGTGTTTCGTTGCATCTGAAAATGCAATTCAGCGTTTCACAGACTGATCTCGTGTAATATTCTTTACACATTAGTCCATCTACATGCATTTACAGTGTGTCTTTAGTAAGCAGCATTAACCCTCTTCTCCCTCACCAGATTTCTCGCAGATCTGATGGACGGGCCAGAGCTGATTCGTAACGTCACCCTCTGCGGTCACCTTCACCACGGCAAGGTTAGAGTCTGCCTTATTCCTGCTCCGGGCTCAGGCTTCTTTAAATATGCTCTTCCAGTCGTGGTCCACCTCCAGCATGTAGCCAAGCGAACATATGTTCCTAAGATGAAAAATTGAACAGATTTGGAACATTTTGGAGCATATGCTAATAACATGGCTGCACTTTAGAGCCATCTGTGGCTCACGGGAATCTAATGAATGTGTTTATTCCATTCAGACCTGTTTTGTGGATTGCCTGATTGAGCAGACACACCCAGAAATCAGGAAGAGAGATGATGTGGATGTGAGTGTTGTGTACAATAATTCAAAATGTTTGCAGTCTGTTATACATAAATTCTGTATATGACAGCTGAGACCAACATGATCTGTTTTACTTTTTCAGCTCCGGTACACAGACATCCTCTTTACCGAACAAGAGGTGAGTGGCTTGGTTTAACTGCTGTAATGCTACATAGCATTCATTACTAAATAATTCTATCAATAGTCTATTTAGCCTGAATATCTTCTTTAGAAGACTGTATTGATGTTTTCCTTGCTTTTGCCTGATCCATGTTTTTATAGAGAGGGGTTGGCATCAAAAGTACCCCTGTCACAATGGTCCTGCCTGACTCCAGAGGAAAATCCTACCTTTTCAATATAATGGATACACCAGGTATTGTATTCACATTGGATCCTTTAGTTGTTAGATGCATATTTTGAGGTTTTATAGAATGAGCTAAAAGTTGCTGACAAAAAAACATAAAAACTAACAAGTCTACTTTTGTGCTTGTCCTCCCATAGGCCACGTGAATTTCTCTGACGAGGTCACATCTAGCATCCGCCTCTCAGATGGCGTTGTCCTCTTCATAGATGCAGCAGAAGGAGTGAGTCAACTCCTATTTGCGGTTCTCCCAAACCAACACCATCTATATCTTTTTATGTCATTATACGTGTGTTCTTCAGCTGCCCATAGATCTCACAGATATTTGTGTATCTCTGCCCAGGTGATGCTGAACACAGAGCGTCTCATCAAGCATGCAGTTCAGGAGCGAATGGCGATCACCATCTGCATCAACAAGGTTGATCGTCTCATTCTGGAGCTCAAACTGCCGCCTACAGATGCTTATTATAAACTTCGCCACATTGTAGATGAGGTCAATGGTTTGCTGAGGTAATACTGGGAACCCCTCGCTAACAGTGTCTGAAGTGTTTTATGTGATTTTTTTTATTTTCTTTTTTCCCCCAAAGGAAATTACCATAAAAATATTTGTTAATAATAGATATTATTGTCTTGGTGTATGTTAAGTTACTACGTTTAAATATTTTCTAATATGATATCTTGGTGGTATGAGGTAGTGTGAAGCTTGCCAGCACTGTGCTGCTGACAATAGCAGGATTCTTTATTTTATCAGGCGGTAAACATGGTTGCAGCAAGAATTTCTTTTAAAGGAAAGCCACATTAATCTGGAACTGACCACCCAGTGACACTGGTTGCTGATTGGCTATTTCTCTTCCCTCTCAGCACATATTCTACAGATGAGAACTTGGTGGTGTCTCCTCTCCTTGGAAATGTCTGCTTTGCCAGCTCTCAGTACAGCATCTGTTTCACCCTGGGGTCCTTTGCAAAGATCTACTCAGATACCTATGGTGAGATGACTTTTGGGCTTATAAAGTAGTGAAATCAGTGCTTCACTACAGCAGTATTAATATATTGCTGTTTTTAACCATAAAGCTTTGTCTGAATAATGAACCTTGTGTATTTCTGCTATTTTGACCCAATTTAATTCATTTAAAACATGTAAATGCATAAACATGGCATCCTTATACAGTTTATCTATTTCAGTTTTTATGTGTTGTTTATTTTTTGTTAAATGAACCTTTTTTGTTTACATAGCATGGTTGATGAATTAAATAATTTCTGGTTTCTAAAGTACATTCGATAAGCTAAAACCATAAGATTACAAAATACTCTGAAGTTAGGGGGCTTTTAGGTTGTAAATCTAACAAGTGCTTATGGCTTTTACTGAAAGCTGATGTATAATATATCATTTTGATATTTTTCTGTCTTGAAAAATAATCGT